GTAAAATATACTTTTCAAAATGTCTTATTCATATGCAGTAATTTTCAACTCAGCTTAAATTAATAAAGATTTATAATATAATTATATTTCAATAGCTTCAGTCTTGATTCTTATAATCTAATGAAGAAAATACTGATCTTTACTTTTATATTTTACTGATAGATTGAAATCTGATTCAAATATTGTATCTATATAAATATTAAGTTAGTTTAGAATCTGAATAATTGAGATATATTTCATCTCATCTTTCATTGTAATTAATTTAAATGAAATAAATAATGAATTTAAGAATGATAATCTTTATACTATCTAAGAAGTATAATGATTAACTTCTTAAACTTTTAGAACTATTATATAAGATCTTATTTTCATATCTGAATATCAGTGATTACATCTGATAAAACATACTCTCTTAATATAAGATATATCATTCAATTCTGATTTATAGTAGCATTTGAGATTTCTACACTAATATCAAATAAAATCAGAAGAAAAAAGAGGTTTATTTATTAATGAATATTATATAAAGTTGCTGAAATAATATTTAACAGAGTTTCTTCAAATGTGAGATTGTTATAACTCAGTGAAATTATTGATAAGTTTCATCATTTCTATATACATCTATCATCAGAAATTTGGGAATTTGAGAAGAACAGATATTAATGAAATTGAATTTTAAAAGTAAAGTAATCTTATGAAGAATACAGTGAGATTTTTCTGAGTAAAACTCAGAGTTAATATTTATATTAATAATACTATTAAAATTGATATTTTCTTGATTGATAAAATCAGAAATTATACTCTGTATTACTTTTTCAGAGTTGATAGGTTTTTGAAGAGTAGACTTATCAGTGATATATTCTTCAATAAATGCAGGATTTATAGCAGTGATTAATAGTTTTTTTGAGAAATATCTGACTCTTCAGCTCAGAGTCTTATTATTAAAATAAATGAATTCATTTCAAAGTTACTGTGATTATGAGCTATATCAATTACTGAATCAGAATCAATAAATTTATTAGTAGAATGAGAGATAGTAATAATATCTTTGATAGTAGTATCTTTTATAGTAATATCTTCAGTGACTGACTTATCAGAATCTTCTTAATCATTATTTTCTGAGATATTCTTCTCAGTATCTGCTTTCAAAAGTCACTTTATATACTTAATATTATCAGTGACATTCTTGTTATATAACTCTGTCTTTAGATAATATTAGTTTTTATAGTAATAAGATATTAAAAGTGATAAATATACTGAGAATAGTAATACTTTTTTATCAGAAACATTATTATCTGAATCACTGTCAGTGAAATTCTTATTTACAGTTTCTAGAAAAAGAGAGCTCTGAGATTGAAATTTTAATTAATTATCTCTGAATTCTTGTCTAGAGATAGATAGCAGATAGTATTTCAGATTTTAATTAAACAGATATAATATTTTACTTTCTGATATAATTTATAGAAATAAGTTATATAGTTGAAAAGATATGATTGAAGTGAGTGAATAATCTTGATAAAATAAAGAGATGAGATTGAATTACTGAAAAGAAGTATATTAATAAGAGCTGTAATCAGTGATAATCTATATTAAATTAATATTAATAACTAAACTGTTTTCTGTATTTTAAGATTATATTTCTGCAAGCTTCTGAAATCAGTATCATTCATTAACTAGAATTTTAATCTAATTTCAAAAATAAATACTCTTATTGACTCTAATATACTAAATCTTTCTGAACTTTCTCATCTAGTAGATTTAATAAGACAATTTACTGATTTCAAAGAAAATTCAATATTAATATTTCTTAATCATAGCAGGCACACAATGACATCAATGAATAATGCACAACAGATGAGAAGAATAGTAAGAAGAACTCAAACTCCTCACTGATAAACAATTTATTAAGAAGATATTGAAGAACTAGACACTCTGATACTGAAATGTATGAGAAAGAGATTCACTCAATGAAGCAATATCTGCAGCTAGAGATTAAATGAATGTATTTTCTATTCTTTATAAAGAAAAATCTTGATCAGACAGTTACAAAAATAATCAAAACTAATGATAAAACATTATATATATTCTCATTCAGCAGAATAACAATGCTGGACAAATCTCTCTTTACTTTATCTTTTTCTTTCAATTTCTTTCTATCTATCTATTTAATGTGTCTATCTTTAAAACTGTGTTCTCTTTTCCTTTGTCATGATATTGTCAAATGGTTTCAAAGTATCAGAAGATGTTAAAACACTGTAATTTGTAAACAGTTTTTGTATTCTGAGCTGAAATTTTCTGATTTTGCATATCTGAAATTGATGAATGTATAATAGTTAACTTTACAGATATAGGAAAAACCCTGAGAACTAAAAGTTCTCAGGTAGATGTCATAGTCTCTGACTGCATACATCTATAATTGAAGAATAATAATAATAATAATAACAATGCTGAACACAGTCAAGATCTGAAAATCAAGATTATTAAAGAAAATCAAGATAAGTATTTAAATTTAATAAAATAGTAACTTTTCAACAGAATATAACAAATTCTTGATAAGAGATTATAAATCTCTGATGAGAATTTAGTGAGAAATCTTAGAAAAATCTAAACTTTTATAATCAAGTTAGCTAACTTAATTTCAATATAAAATCATATTCAATAGAAAAGAATAAAGAGCAGAGCAAGTTCAGAGATAATCAGCTTATATAATTATTATAAAGAAACAATTATCTTTGATTACTTTTATAAGTTATTCATCACTGAAAAGTTCTTTCTGATTTTTTATTAAGTGTAGAGAGTTATTGACTTTGACTGATTCTCTGAGTAAGAATAATAATATATAAAATGTAAGTTAGTATAATTCAAATTGTTCTGAAAACTAGAAACTGATTTCAAAAACAGAGATATATGTCAATCTAATAACTTAGATCAAAATATTTGATAATACTAATATAAATGAAAATTCTACTGCAGTTATAATATAATGATAAAATATTCTGATATTTTGAGGTCTGATGAGTGATATTTCTGAATATCAGAAAATTGTTAGAGACGACTTTACAGAGATAATTCAGAATACTCTGACAGTTAAAAAGAGATATACAGTGAAAGATATGTAAAAGAAGATATAAAAAAGAATTAAATTTTCAGAGATACTTTCAGTAAAAGATAGATAATATAGAGATTTCTGATATAATCTATTTTAGATTGACCGTCTGACCGTGTCTGAGACCAGGACCAGAATTTTTGATAGTCTCATTATCAATTTGACAGATCTCATTACACGGTTCTAACATTAGATAGTAGTCTCATACTGTCTCAGTGAGACTTACTGTCTACTCTTATCACATTTTTCAAATGAGACCATGATTTCCACTTCTCAATTTAAATTATTTTTATTGCTTTAAATGACTTTAAATCTCATTTGAGTGTTATCAAAAAGTGTTACTTTTTAAAAAATTAAAAATAGTCTAAAAAAAACCTTAAAATGTCTAAAAATAGTAACTTTATGCCAAGAATGGGACTAAATAAGATCAAATGAGATCACTTTCTCATTTTTTTCAAGTCATGGTTTCATTTTGAGATCTGATATATAGTCACTTTGCATGTTTATTTAATGATTAGTCCCAGCGGGATTCACGCCAAGAAATGTATGAGACCAGATCAAATGAAACTAAATGTGAAATTCATAGTTTCGGCGGCCAGTCTAATCTATTTCTATTTCAATATATTTAGTTTTCTATGCATTTTATATATAAATTAGTTAATATATACTTTATCATATATCATTAGAAAACATCTGTCTTGATATTCATTTACAAAAGTTATTATATTATCTATCTTATATTTGATTATAGTTATAGCTGCAGCAGAATCACTGATTTTACTGTATCAGAAAATCTTCTTATTTATCTGAAATTCTGTAGATATTGTAACGTGGCGGAACTGAAGCAGTGGCTAGTCAGCGGCGACACGTAGAGGTAGTTGTTTGAGAAGCTGTATAAGTGAGCTTGACTATCTTGCTTGAATAGCGAGCTCATAGACTACAGGGTTATTGTAAGAATATCACAGATATGATACTTAGTATACTAAGAAGATTATATGAGGCATGCAGTAACTCTTGTGTATATTTCAGTAGAAGTAAAATGAATTGCTAACTTCTTTGATGAGAAGTCAGCATCTAGCTATTCTATATAGACAATGAGTGAATACTCTTCTTTCATTTCATAAGTAAGAATAGTTGAAGTGATATCTCAGCAGTGCTTCATTGTCAAGAAAGAGTAATCTGCTGACCTTGTATAGAAGCAGAGTTCTCATATTTATCAATCAGATCTTTCTATGATATATCTGAATGATATCATAGAGCAGTTGAAAACTGGTTTGAATAAGATGAAATTATTCACATAAAAGTGATGAGCTGTGTGAAACTGCAATGAGGTCTTGACATGGCTGAGAGTGTGATAATACTCTTCTCTTTAAGAGTATAGTCTCTATGCTCTCAAGATTACTGAATTAGAAATTATCTTTGTTATATAGCAATGATTATCAACTGATTGACAGTGTATATACTGTATATAATATAAAGAAATAGATGAGTTTTTCTGCTGACTGTGTAGATCTTTCTTTTCTCATCTTCATTCAAATCAAACATATGATAAGTGAGTTCCTTATATATCAATTTAGAATGAGAAAAATGTAGTTAATAAGTGACTTACATATCTCTCATCATATTCTGTTCTATATATGAAATTCTCTGCAAAAGTGATGTATTTTAGAGACAAAGCTGACAGTAGTGACAGAATTTTTCAAAAAGATTCTTCTCTCTGTGAAACATTCTTCTTCCCTCTTCTTCTTCTGTAATAGTAAGTGCATGAGAGTATTATTCTTGAAGAACAGTAGAGGGCTTATTCTGATGTTTTCTAGTGAGTAAATATCTTTGTGATGCAGCAGTGGTCTCTGTGACTGTCAAGAAAGCCAGGTTGAAGGCAGAGACAGTGTCAATGAGCCGCAGGAGCACCGCTCTCATTGTCACACCTTCTCCTGCTTCTCTCACGGCTGTGGTAGTAGTTGCCATGCCTTGCAGTGAGATGTCATTCCTTCTGCTGGCTGGTGCATCTGTGTCTGTTCTGTTCTCTGCCCCTCTCACTGCTGTTGTGACGCCGCCCCCTCCCTCAGCCAATACAGTGATGTATGACCCTGTGTGATCATTTGGAGAGGAACTCGGGGAGAGCTTGATTCTGGGAACAGTGACTCTGAGAAGCTCAATTCATAGTTCCTCTCCCGCGGCACACCTGAGCCCTGCTCAGAATACTGCTGAGTTGAGTCTGCAGAGTCCTGTGATTTCTTCATCTTCTCTCTGTGAAGAGGCTTTAGTGCAGTCTCTGACTGACACTACTACTTATCTGCACTGTGTCAAGTAGCTGAAGAAGAGAGGGATTTTATACATCTATCTCTTCTCTCACTTCTATTATTTCTATTATATCTGTAACAACAACTTCTGTCTCTCTGTAAGTATTATCTCACAGAAAGATGTTATATTGACTCTGATAAGAAGTCTAGATACTCAAGTAGTACAGAGTGAGAATCTCAGAGCTTTAAGTATTGATAAATTCTGTCAAGACTGAGAAGGTCTCTCTTACTCATCTGTAAAAGAAGATGAAAGCATAAATCTCTGAGATGAAAAAACATCTCAGAATGACTGATCTTAAGAAGAGATCAGCTGACATCACTGTTGAAAGTATTATAAAGATTAATTACTGATTAAAGAGAATCTCACTTCAGTTGAAGCAGATGACTGAGATGCTTTATAAGTTGATAAGTTGATACTTTCAGTATCTCTTATACTCTTCTGCAGTATGCTCTTCTACAGTGTCACAGTACTAACTTCTCAGCAGACAAAGATACTGATACTGAAGACTTTAACAGTGAAGAATGAGTTTGATGAGAGTGTGATTATTAATGAGTAGACTCTGAGATTCTCTCTTTTTATTTTTTCAGCAGACTGCAGTCTCATTAGATTAGCAGTGATCTGCAGATTAATTAATATTAATCTTTTTATTAATTTCAAATATTTCTTTCTTTTCTTATTAACTGCTTCAGGAATTTTATACTTGTATAGTCTCATTAAACTTCTAAAAAATTCTTTGAGAGAAAATAGAAGAAGAGTGCTATAAAGTCTATAAGATGCTGACTCATCACTGTGAGATTATCTCTAAAAAACTCTTTAAGAAAAATGAGAAGTCTTAAGTGATGTTTCTTATTCAATATCTCTGATGTGTAATGAGATAATCTCTACTAGCTATCTTATAGATTGCAATCTCTTTCTCAGCATTTTTCAAATACTCAAGCAGTTTTCATGAATTCTCTGATAATAAATATTCTTCTCATTTAATAAGGTATTGAAGCTTACTGTAATATGTTCACTTGTTCAATATTTTCTTCATAAGATATTCAGTATCACTCTCAATCTTGATATCATCTGACTGAGATGACTCTGTCTCAGAGTGTTGCTTATAGAGCTTCAAATAGAAAATGTAAAAAACAGAATGAATTAATTTCAATTCTGTGAGTAATTTTAACTCATATGTCTGCTTACTCACTACTCTTATTATCAGAAAAGATTCTAGTCACTGCTCACTGAGCTTCTTATATAATCTTATTATCTTAATATTCTTTACTGAAAGTAGCACTTGATTCTCTATTAAGAACTTTATCAGAAGATGTTTTCAATTATAGTATTTCATCTGCTACTTCTAAGCATGGTGAATGCTTTTCACTGTCTTCTTATGAATTTTGTTTAAAAGTTTCAATCTCACTTTTACTTCTAACACTGAGAAATACTTCATTCTCTGTATCTGTCTGATATTCTGACTGTCTATTTCTCTCTTTGAAACATTATCTGTGATGTCACTGAGTAATGAAGAATTATATTCATAATAAGCATAGAAAGAAGATATCTTTAAGATTACATTCTTTGCATTGTTATATGTGAATTCAGCAGTTAGAAGATGTTTGAGCTAATCATTCTGATGATATAAATAGAATACTTAAAGATACTGTTCTAGTGTCTGATTCTGGCATTCAGTCTGATCATCAGTCTGCAGATGAAATGCAATACTGAGAAGATATCTTATTATAAGATAATAGTAAAAAACTGATCAGTATTTGCTGATAAAGAGAGATTCTCAATCTGTTATTAATGATTTCAGAGCACTGTGATCATGAATGATGATATCTAAAAACAGGTCAGTCAATTCAGAGGCTTTAATCTTTTTATAAGTAGAGATATATCTGATCATCTTTATGAAGCAGTTAATAATGATCAAAATTAAGTCATATTCTTTGACTCTTATTGATTTCAGCAGATTAACTATGAAATTCATTGATAGATTCTATCATGAGCTCTTTGAAACAGGCAGTGATATCAACTCACTGTATTACTTATACTGTGAAATCTTTATTCTTTGACAGATATTGCAAGTTTCAACATACTCTTTGACATCTGTCTGAAGCTTATTCTAAGTATATTTATATTTTAGAAGCTTCTCAGTCTTCTCTAACCTGAAGTGCTCTGTATGAAAATCATTATGATGAATTCTTAATAACTTCTGATACACTGCTCTGCTATAAGAGATGAAGACTGAATTATTCAGCAGTAGAAGTTCACATTCTTCTAGTTATCAGTGACTTGATTTCTTAGCAGCACTGTTCTGCTCAGAGTCTGTCTCTTTCAAGTTCAAACTGAATTCTTTCTTCTTCAACTTTTGAATTCAAGCTGCAGTAGAGGCATCCTTCTTCTGTAACTTTTCAATGAATTTTAAAAGTAGTCAGATTGAAAGGTTGTAGACTGTTTCATTCTTTATCAATTCAATGATTGTAAGATATAACATGAGAAGCTTATGATCTTCAGTGTCAGTTCTCTACAGAGACCTGAGTTCTCTTTCACCTTCTATACTGAGTCACACAGCTGTCTCTTCAGTGCTGTTTCTGAGCTTTAGAGAATCTCAACCCTCTGCAGCCAGCTTCTTCTGCAGTGATGACAGAGATTCTTTTATAGAATTCTTCTTCACATCAATAATATTATAATCAGACTGTCTAGATAATGTGTCAGCAGGATTAAGCCAACCTGAATAGTATCAGATATAGAAATCATACTCTGAAAGCAGCTCTGCTCATCTGACTTGATGTTCTATCAAGCTCTTTGTTGTCAAGAAGTAATACAGATTTGCATGATCAGTGAGAACTTACACTGAGTACTTACTACTCTGAAGATAATGTCATCAGATCTTAAAGAATTTGATAATTGCTAATATCTTCTGATTATGAGTATCATATCTTCTCTGTGTAAGTGATAACTTCTTGAAGAAGAAAGTCACTGATCTTCATTCACAGTGTCTTATAGACTCTGTGAAAAAGCCTTCTCTCACAGACAATTCATTACCTGTTTTCTCAGAGATGATTATTCTCTGATCCTTTCAACATTGAAAGGTCTTCAGTGTCAACTGTGAAAAGATTTCACAGATCTCATTCCTGAATACATCAGTCTCATACTGACTGAATAAGTTGAGATTAAAGTGATTCAGCATTGTGACATCTGTGAAAGCTTGTTTCAATTCTGCAAATGCCTGAACAGTGTCTTAAGTGAGAATAAACAGTTCTGTTTTTCTGTCTTTCACACTTCTCTTTAACAGATCTGTAAGAGGGACAGTAATCTGTGAATATGCATAGATGAATCATCTGTAGAAATTTGCAAATTCTAGAAACACCTACATCTCACAGTATGTCCGCGGCGCCAGCCAGTCCTCAATGATGAAGACCCGGCTCCTGTTCATTGAAATGCCATTCATCTTAACAATATAATCTAAGAAATCAATCTTCTGCATGTAGAATGAGTATTTTTCAGTGTTTGCATAGAGTTGATACTGTCTCAAGTAACTCAACACTTCTCAAACATGGGTATCATGTTCTTTCTCTGATTTTGAGAAGATTAAAATGTTATTCAGGTATACTATGCAGGAGATGTTGACAAGGCCCTACAGTGCCTCATTTATATAGGTCTGAAAGATGACTGAAGTGTTACAAAGATCAAAAGATAAAACAAGATATTTGAAATTGCTGTACTTAGTATGAAAAGTCATTTTCCAAATGTCATCTTTGTTAACTCTGATTCTATGATAGACATTCTGTATATCAATCTTTGAGAACATCTTCACTTCAGATAATTGATTGATCATCTTGTCAATCAACAGTAGTAAATAGTGATTCTTAACTGTCATCTTATTGAGGCCTCTGTAGTCTATGCATAGATGTAGTCTATCATTCTTCTTAAGCACAAAGAGTATAGATACTTCTGTCAGACTCTTTGATGAATGTATTCAGTTCTTTGATTACACTTCTTCAAGATATTTGTGCAGAACATTCAACTTCTTTACAGACAAGTTGTAAAGAGGCCTGTACAGTGCTGTTACACTGTCTTCAAGGTGAATCTTATATTATATCTTGATGTCAGGAAACTTCACTGCTTCTCTTTTTAAAAAGACATTCTTAAAATCTGTAAAGAGACATTGTGTACATCTGCCTTCAATGACAGATACTGCTGCTATTCTTGTAGTGAGAATGATGACTTCTTCATCTATTCTCAAGTCTCAATCACCTGCTACACAGTATATTAACTCAATCTTTTTCTTAAGATTCTTTCAATGAAACTCTTCAGATTTCTCTATCATTATCTCTTCATCAGTGAGACAGTACTGTCATACCTGAGTAACTCAGTCAATGAGAGAATTGTTTTCTCTCAATTATGAGAGATCTAGAATGACATTCTCATCTATGATATTGACTGTGTGAAGGAGCAGACTGCTCTTCTTGAAGATTTCTTCTGAGTCTGTGATCACACACTTTGCTTGAATTATGCTAAAACAGTGATATTTCATTTCATCTGTAAATTTTGCATGATCTGACAAATCTATCTTCTTTCAACTCTTTATCAAAGAAAAGAAATAGAATATGAAGTTGATATCTGCTCTGAAGTTAAGTAGGCATCTCACTGATATCTTCTCATTCAGAGTATGCATTGTGATTATAATATGAACTTAAAGATGTGAGAATTGTCAATTCTTTTCTTTCTCTTCTTTATCTTTCACAGATATATTTGTCAGAAGAGAAGTTGACTTTAAGAAGATATCTTCTCAGTTTCTTCTCTTCTTCAGCTTCTTATAATCACTGATATAGTGATCACCTGCTCTGCAGTTGAAATAGAGATCTTTGTTAAATCTTTTTTAATGTTTCTTCACAGTGAGTGAAGAATCAGAATACTTGAAATTCTTCTTTACTTTCTCTGCACTGAAGCTGTTATAGCACTATTTAGATTCTGTTATTGATTACTTAGAAGAGGTCTTGTTAATCTTTTTCTCAGAGAATTGATTATTCAAATAGATCTGAGAAGTCAGGTTGACAAGCTCAGTGCAATTGATTGATGAACTCTGATACTGTGATATCATTGTTCACACCTTGTGAGTCAGCTTTGTAAGATAAAGCTATATTTTTAATTAATTCAAATCATCAGTCAGTTCCTCTTAATATTCTTCAAATCTTACATTGAAATCAGAAGAATTCTCATCATCTTATTAATATAATAAGTTGAACTACTGTGCTGCTGTGAAGTCACAGTTACAGTAATCTTCAATTTGATTCAGTAGAAAGTTCTTGAATTCTTCTCAAGTCATAGTAGCATTGATACACTCAAGCTCTCTCTTCTTAATAGCTCAAGTAGTCACAGAGATGCTCTCAAGGAGGTTGACAGTGTATATTACTCATATCTTATGAGTATTATACTGACTTGGATTAAGGTGGAATTTCTGTTCAAGAATACAGATAAAGCTGTGAAATTCAGATAAGATGTTTCTCTTATATCTCAGTGAATCTCTGACCTTAATCTCTCTATCTCCATGATAGATGTAGGTGTGTAGAGGCCGCGGCGGTGGCAGGGCGGTTGAAGAGCTCATGTCAAAATGCACAGTGAGTTCAGGAATCTTGAATTTCTGCTGAGATAGAGGTGTACACACTCTAGGGAATGATGTAGTGTTTTCTTCAGAGAGTGAGGTTGAGTCAGTCCCAGTATGAGTGTGTGAGGTTATATCAGTCTGTTAGAGCTTGACTGATTCAAATATGTAATCAGATCAAGTGATTTAAATTGTAACATGATGAAACTGAAGCAGTGACTAGTCAGTGATGATATATAGAGATAGTTGTTTGAAAAGCTGTATGAGTGAGCTTGACTATCTTGCTTGAATAGTGAGCTTGTAGACTACAGAGTTATTGTGAGGATATCACAGATATGATACTTAGTATACTAAGAAGATTGTATGAGACATGCAGTAACTCTTGTGTATATTTCAGTAGAAGTAAAATGAATCACTGATTTCTTTGATGAGAAGCCAGCATCTAGCTATTCTATATAGACAATGAGTGGATACTCTTCTCTCATTTCATAAGTGAGAATAGCCAGAGTGATACCTCAGCGGTGTCTCATTACCAAGAAAGAGTAATCTGCTGACCTTGTATAGAAGCAGGGTTCTCATATTTATCAATCGGATCTTCCTATGATATATCTGAATGATGTCATAGAGTGGTTGGAAACCGGTTCAGACAGGATGGAATCATCCGCATGGAAGCGATGGGCCGTGTGGAACCGCAACGGGGCCTTGGCGCGGCCGGGAGCGTGACAGATATATTTCTGACAGTATATTAAACACTTGTTCTCAGTTAATTAAAATGATTTTATATTCAAAATAGCTGTAATTCATTCAGTGATAGCCTGCACAGAAGATATTTATTATAAAAATAAGATATAGATGAAATCTGTCAGATTCACTGATTATACTTAGAGATGAAGTATGAAAGCAATCACTCTGTTATATAATAATATACAAAGATGAATCAATAATATATGTAAAGAGAATAACTTATTATCTTCTTTTTCTTTCATTCTTTCTTTCTTCTTCATGCAATAATATTACACTGTGAAAATCATTCTCTGCTTATTCTGCTCATTCTTATCTTCAGTAAGATTAGTATTTCATCAGCTGCAATAGAAAGCTTTAATAAGACAAGTTCTGATTTCAAGATATCTTATTCACAGAATATCATGAATATCAGTGATTTATAACAGCAATAACAGCAATAACAATAGCAGCAAAAATGATCAGTGAAATATCAAAGTGTACACATGCAGCTGTTGCAAAAGCTTAGAAGAAGAAGACAAGTCAGCAGAATACTCTGATGAAGCAGTCAGATAAAAAGACTATGTGTGAACACTGTATTGAATGAATTTTCTCTCATCATCTCAAAGTTTCTTATGATAAGATGAAGAAAAGCTTGAAACTGTGCAAGAACTGTAATCATGATAAAAACAAATGCATAATTCTTCTCTCTGAATTAAAAGAGTATGTTAACAAGCTGATCTGAACTCATGATTTTTATATTACTTTATCAGATGATTTCAAGAAATCAGTCAAAAGATCAATGTTGAAGACAGTGAAGAATCTGATCAAATAAATCAAGAAGATTAGAGTACACTGTCAGAAAATAAAGAGTATGACTGTTATAATCAAGTTATCAAATACAATTATCAGTGTCACTGAAAAGGCCAGAATCAAGATATAAAAAGCTATAATAAATATTGAATAGATCAAATTGACAGTTGAGTAGAAGAAAATAGTGATTAAAAAGTTTAAATTAACAGTTGAGCAGGAGAAATTGATAATTGAAAAATTCAAATTGATGATTCAGCATGAAATTCTGATGACAGTTAATTATCATATGAAAGATCAGAACTGGGCAATAGTATGTCTGACAGATATAATGAATCAGATGAATCAAAATATCTTCAACATTGTGATAAAGATGTGTCAAATATTGAACTGAGTAAGAATGTTCTCTGATACTTAACAGAACACTGATGAGAATGAGAAGTCTGACAATGCTGATAATACTGACAATTCTCTCTCTCTCATTCTCTCTGCTCTCTCTGCTTTCTCTACTATCTCTGCTGTCTATCTTGTTGCTGTTTCTGCTGCTGATGCTGCTTCTCTCACCCTCTCTGCTATCTGTCTTATCACTGCCTCTGCTGCTGCTGCTGCTACTTCTGCTAGTTCTTTCTACCTTCTCTCTGAGATTCTGATAATCAGCTCTAATTTGAATGTTTTCCACAATGAAAAAAATGTAAGTTAGAATCAGTGAAATACTTCTCACATTTATATATATAGAAGTTGATAATGATGATATAGATAAATAAATAAACTGTCTATGAATATTCAGAAACTCTTCAGCTTAAATATTATATTAACTCTGCTTCTCTCTCTGAGAAAATTTCAATCAGAATTCTCAAGTTCACTGACATTGACAAGAACAAGAACATGCAGGTGACAGAGAATGATGAGAAAGAACAGAAAATAATATAGAAAATCTGTAAGAAATTGAGTTATCACTAGAGATTGTTAATATCAGTAAAGAAGATGTTTTTTTAAGTTAGTAGTTAAAGAGATAGAAATCAGTAATATTACTAGTATAATAATGATTTTTTTCTGTTCATAACTTGTTTATGATGATTTCACAGTGATTTTATCATTATATTAAGATTTACAGTGCAGTGACAGTGTTCATCAATTGAAATGATGAAACAATTATAATTCAGTTGTATAATAAGTCTACATTTTTCCGATATAGCATCTACTCTAGTCACGTGCCACCTCAACCTATTCTTACCGGAAAAACGTAGGCTTATTATACAACTAAGTTATGATTATTTCATCATATCAGTCACTGACACTGTCACTGAACTGTAAATCTTAATATAATGATAAAATCACTGTGAAATCATCATAAACAAGTTATGAACAGGAAAAAATTATAATTATATTAATAATGTCACTGATTTCTATCTACATAATCACTAATTCTAAAAAATGTCTCATTCACTGAAATTATTCTCTATTGAAAATCTGTTACATTTCTATCTAATTTCTTCTGAATTCTCTGAATCATCTCTCTCTCATTGTCATCATTTTCTGTTATATTCACATCAGTATTATTCATTTCTGCAAACTTGCAAATTAATATTGAAGTTTTTGAAGAGTCAGTGTCAATGATCATTCACTGTTTAAAAGAGAAAATTTCAGAGAGAGAATTAGAAGCAGTGTATTTACTTATCTATATTATTATCAACTTCCGTATAAATCTGAGAATCATTTCACTGATTCTAACTTACTTTTTCTCTGAGAATGTTGAGAGGTTCAGAGCTGCTCATAGCCAGAGAATCAACTAAAGTCAGAATATCAGAGAAGAGAAAGAGAGAAAGATCAGCAGCAGTAGCAGAGATATCAGTATTAATATCAGCATCAGTATTAATAGTAAAGATAGAAAGAGAATTATCACTGTTATCAGATTTCTCATCACACTTCTATCAGTGATTAGTGAATCTCTTGAATTACTTCAATATTTTATATATCTTAACAGTAATATTCAATGCATTCTGATTAATATTATTCATAACATTTATGAGATTTATCATTGCTTGTTTTTAAGCTTCAATATAGTGATTTACTATTATTAAAATCTCATACTGCACTGCAAGTCTGCTTCTCTTAATTTTTAATTTAATCTTCTTAATGACAACTTTTTTCTTCTTAACAGTGATTTTCTTCTTTTTGAGCTTAAGCTTTGTCTTTTCAATATTCAGTTTTATCTTTTCAATCTCAATTTTTGTCTTTTCAGCAGCACTGATTGTGACATTTGAAACTTTCAGAGTAATATTAATACTTTTCATGTATTGAGCTTCTGCTTTCTGTCACTGAGTCTTGACTTTCTTAATTTATTTTAAGAGATTCTTTGCTGATTTTAATATAGTCTTCTTTATTATTATCTTAAATTGATCTGATGAAGAATGATAAAATTCATGAATTTGAATCAGACTATCAACTTGTTCTTTTAATTCTTCAGAGATAATTATGTATTTCTTTTTCTCATAATTATAATTTATACAAGACTTTAAGCTTCTCTTCATCTTATCACAAGTGACATTCAAATGACAGAGAAAAATATACTCAATACAATACTCACACATTGTCAGTTTGCTAGACTGCTTTGTTAAGATATTCAGACAGCTGCTTGCTTTCTTCTCTTAAGTCTTTGCAGCAGTAGCACAGGTATACTTAAGAGTGTTACTTGTTATTTTAGTGCTGCTGCTGTTCTTATTGTTGCTGTGATTGATACTACCGCTGTTATTATTGTTGCTATGATTGATGCTGATGTGATAAATTGCTGATATTCTTAGTATACTATACAGATAAGATATCTTGATTAGAACTTTTCTGATTAAAAGCTTTCTATTGCAACTGACAGAATACTAACCAGGCTGAGAAATGAAGAAGAACAGAAGAAGCTGAGTAAGCTGAGAATAATCTTTGTAATGTATTATTATTGCAAGAAGAAGAAAGAAGAAAAGAAGAAAAAGAAAAATATAAGTCTTTATAGATGTTATTAATTCATCTTTGCAGATTATTATACAATGAATGCAAATACTTTCATATTTCATCTCTGAGTGTAATCAGTGCATCTGATGAATTTCATTCATATCTTAATACTTTCTATACAGGCTATCACTGATTGAATTACAGCTATTTTAAATATAAAATCATTTCTATTAACTAGAAATAAGTGTTCAATGCACTGCTAGAAATATATCTACAGAATTTAAGATTTTCTGATACAGTAAAATTGATGAATTCTCTGCAGTTATTACTATACAAATTACAAGATAGAGAATATAACAACTTTCTTCAGTGAATATCAAGACAGGTATATTCTAATTATGTGTATTAAAGTATATATTAACTAATTTATATATAAAACTCATAGAAAACTAAATATATTGAAATATAAATGAATTGTGTTGAAAATCTCTACATCACTGATCTGTCTTTCACTGAAAGTGTCTCTGAAAATTCAATCTTTTTCTGCATCTTCTCTCACATATCTTTCATCAGATGTCTCTTTTTTACTGTTGAGATATTCTGAATTATCTCAGTAAAGTCATCTTTGATAATTTACTGATATTCAGAAATATCACTCATCAGATTTCAGAATATCAGAATATTTTATCATTGTAACATAGCTGCAGTGAAATTTTCATTTATGTCAGTATTATTAAATATTTTGACCTGAGTTACAAGATTGACATATATCTTTATTTTTTAGAATCAGTTTCTAGTTTTTCAATCTGAAGTTTTCAATTCAATATCTTTAACTAATGAATATTCAACTTATGTTTCATATATCATTGTTCTCACTCAGAGAATTGATCAAAGTTGATGATTTCTCACACTCAGTAAAAAACCAGAAAGAACTTTTTAGTGATAAATGAATTACAGAAGTATTCAAAGATGATTAATTCTTTATAACAGTTATACAATCTGATTATCACTGAACTTTTTCTACTCTTTATATTCTCTCATTGAATATAATTCTATATTAATAAATGATTAGCTAAGTTGATCAAAATTTTTTTAATATTTCACTGAAAAGTTGATATATTTGCTAAAATCTAATACTACTTGTCATCATTTCTTTGAGAGTTTGAGACTTTCATGTTTTAATTGCATTCAGCATTATCATTCTGCTGAATGAAAAGATGTATAATATTTTATTCTTTGTTTTTATCACACTTGTAACTGTTCAATTCAAATTATCTTTATTGAAAGAAAGAAAATACATTCATTTTATCTCCAGACACAGACACTGCTCTATCAGCTGAATTTCCTTCTCATACATTTCTGCATTCAAATGCCAGGTTCAGTGATGCCTTTTTAATAGACTGCTTGATATCAGTGATAAGTTTGACTTCTTCTCATCTGACTGATATTTGTCATTGCTGTTATTATGTTCATTCTATATTCAGATATATCAATATCAGATTTCTTTTGAAATCAGTGATTTATCACATTAAACCTACTAGATGAGAGAGTTCAGAGAGATCTAGTAGAGCAGAATTCATGACAATGTTCATTTTCAGAATCTTGATAGAACTCTGGTAAATTTGTGATATGAATAGAAATATAGTAATTTGATTCTTAATATTAAATTAATGTAGATTATTGCTGATTGCAGCTCATATTAATATATTTCTTTTCAGTAATTCAATCTCATCTCTTTATTTTATCAAGACTGCTTATTCACTTTATTCATATCTTTTCAACTTTGCAACCTTTTTCTACAAATCATATCAGAAAGTAGAATATTATGTCTGTTTAATTGAAATCTGAAACACTATCTGCTATCTGTCTCTAGACAAGAATATGAGAATGATTAATTGAAATTTCAACATCAGAGTCTCTCTTTTCTGAAAACTGCAAATGAAGATTTCACTGACAGTGATTCAGACAATGATACTCTCAGTGAAGAAGTATTACTATTCTCAGTAAGTTTATTACTTTTGATATCTCTATTATTATAAAAACTAACATTCTCTAAAGACAGAGTTATATAATGAGAATGCTGCTGATAATGTTGAGTATATTAAGTGACTTTTAAAAGTAGCTACTGAGAAGAATATTTCTGAAAATGATGATTAAGAGAATTCTGATGAGTCAGTTACTAATAATATTGAAATGTCAGCTGCTGATGTAATTGCTGTTACTATTACTGATCAATTTATTAATTCTGATTCAGTAATTGATATATCTCACAAATACAGTAACTTTGAAATGAATTCATTTATTCTTATAATGAGACTATGAGCTGAAGAGTCAGATATTTCCTGAAAAAACTACAAATCACTACTATAAATTCTGTGTTTATTGAAGAATACATCACTGATAAGTCTGCTCTCTGAAGATCTATCAACTCTGAAAAAACAATGCAGAGCATAATTTCTGATTTTATCAGTCAAGAAAATCTCAATTTCAATAGTGTTATTAATGTAAATACTAACTCTGAGTTCTGCTCAGAAAAATCTCACTGAATTCTTCATGAGATTACTTTACTTTTAAAATCTGATTCTCTTGATATCTGCTCTTCTAAAATCCTCAACTTTTCAGTGATAAATGTATATAGAAATGACACAAATTGTCAACAATCTCACAGAGTTATAACAATCTCACAGTTGAGAAAGCTCAGTCAAATATTGTTCTGATGACTTTATATGATATTTATTAAATAAACCTATTTTTTCTTCTGATTTTATTCAGTATAAGTGTGAGAATCTTGAATACTTTTATAAATCAGAGTTGAATGATATATCTCACATTGAGAGAGTGTATTTTATCAGATGTGATTGCTGACATTCAGACATGAGATCTTATATGATAGTTCTAAAAGTTCAAGAAGCTGTTCACTATACTCTGCAGACTGCACAAAGATTACTGTTCTTGAATTCATTATTTAGTCTCTTCAAAATAATTGCAATGAAGAATGAGATGAAATATATCTCAATTATTCAAGTTCTCAATCAACTTAATGTTCATATAAATACAGTATTTGAATCAGGTTTTGATCTATCAGTATATGAGAGTCAAGATCAGTATTTTCTTCACTGAGTCATGAGAATCAAAACTGAAGTTGTTGAGATATGATTATATTGCAAATCTTCACTAATTCAGACTGAGTTGAAAATTGCAGCACATGATTGAGATTTTTTGAAAAGTATATTTTACTCTAATACACAAGTTATTTCCCTATCATATTAATTATTTATTGATAAATTTGATTTATATTGAAACATGTACTGAAGCTTGATGAGTTTTTATATAATTTCTACACTAAGTACTGTTGAGTACTTGAAGTGAAACAATATTTTTATTTTAATCTTTGATTCTCATAATATCAATTTTTCTGACACTGTCACTGTATTGTCACATGGCCCCGGTGGCCGAATGGTTAATGCGGCCACCTGGTAGCGCCTTGGCGTGGGAAACCAAGGCGCGTGGGTTCGAAACCCGCAGGGAATACATTAAATCCGGAACTCAAGCACCTCAGGTTTCTAATAAATACAGAGATGTACAAATCGCTTCAATGAATCGCTCTATGTTCCTGGGCTGGGAAGTTATTATCGCATGTATCTAATTGTCACTTCTTTGTATTTTCCTATGTTCTTGTTATCTTGGCGTGGTCTCAACACCTGTATTTCCTCCTGTATAATCAACACTTGACCTGTATTTAACATCACACAAGAACTTATCATAAGCTCCGCTTGCATATAAGTATAATGAAAGAATAATAATAATAATAATAAATGTATTGTCACATGACTTATCTACATTGAATTATGAGAGAGTTATAATAAATATCAGTAAAGAAAAAATGAGAATTATTACATCTTATATTGCATTTCTTGAAAATATGCTGCAGTAAAATAGCAATGCAGAAATCAAAGAATCAACTGTAAGAAGATTATACTGAAGCTGCTTTATTAATAATAAAAATTGACTGAATCTGAACTATAATCTATACAATAACAGCTGATTTCATCATTATATGCAATATCTTTAGTCTAAACTGAATGATCTGTCAAATCTCACATATAGAGAGTAAATGTGTTAAGAGCAGAGTATAACAGCACAGACAGTATCTCTTTTTCAAATGTATTTAAGTTTGAATTTAATCTTGTTTTTTTCTTCTGATTCATATCATAGTGAGTTCACTGAAATATCAGAAATTTCATACTTATTACTGATCTGCTGTGTCTTATCATTACATAGTCAGCTAGAATACTTTTAAATATTGCAGATATTTTCTTTTTCTCATAATTAAAATCATTTACAGTTACTGATCACTCATCTCAAGAAGTATCAACTTCAGAAGTATACTCAAGTCTCAATCATTATATCTCTTATCTTACAGTGTGAGCTCAGAGAGGAATGACTCAGTTTGATAATTAAGCTGATTATTTCTATGATATTTTTAGCAGTAAATCAATCACTCATTGATAGACTGGCCGCTGAGACCATGAATTTCACATTTGGTCTCATTTGGTCTGGTCTCATACATTTCTTGACGTGAGTCTCACCAGGACCAAGCCTCAAAAAAATCTGAAAATGGATCATTTCTGAGAGAAATGGTGTAAAAAATGACCAGATTTAATTCAAGAACAGTGAAATGAGAGTAATTTTCCAGAATAAACTGTGAAAGATGATCATTCTTTCAAAATCAGAATGAGACTGAGACTGAAGATCAAAATCAGTCTCATTCAGTTCATTCAGTGATTGCTTATATAATCAGAATTTAATAACAATTATTGATAATGCTCATGAAACAACTAAATACATTCTTGTGCAAGTGTATTCTTCACTTTCTCATGAAAACTACACTTCTCTGATATACTGTGATCAGAGGTATTAAACTGTCTGATAATTTCATGTTTTATAATTATGAGTTTCTTGATTGTTTCTTCTTGTAATTGTTCTCAGTGATAGTGATAAATATCTCAACTTGAGTTGAACTTTCACTTCATTCTCATCTCTGTCAATGAAATTGTCAGAATATCACGTGTCATCAGTGCAACAGTTGAATATATACTCTCAACAATTTTTCATAACTCTAGAATTGATTTGGCGTGTAAATTTGTCAGATTATCTTGAAGATAGTGATCAAATTCAGTTTTACAAGCATGTAGTTTTGCCTGATTTTCAGTTGCAATCAATATATGCAAGTTCTGTTTCAAAGTTAGTATTATAGTTCTATGTAATATGAAGTGTTATCAAAGATTGTTACTTACTAGAGAATTGTATTTCACTATCTTCATATCTCAAACATCTGCTCATTCAAATCTCTGATACTTGGTATTGTAGTAGTCTCAGACTAATTTAATATATGAGTCTTGTTTCTCCTCTGTTCAATCTTGAGAAGTGTAGATATTAACTCAATGAAAGAAATCTAGTAGAGCTACTACAGTATAGTACTCTGTAAAAGATTGTTCTGTTTTACTGTAGTAATATACCAGTTTATCCCTTGCAGCAACAATAGCCTGTGCTATAGCATCATCTCAGACTGAATTTCTTTTTGAGTGATTCAACTGCTTCTCAAGATAAGTAAATAAACTGTTATACACTCATCAGACTGACTGCAGCATTGATGTATGAGTGATTGAGACTGTCTTTATTATCTTATAAAACTGAAACAGTAAATCAATCACATATTTCAACTGAGTTCACTTCATATCAGAAAGTTTCAATATCTGAATCTTTTTCTAATCAGAGTGTTGCACTCAATGATCAATCATCTGATGCAATCAAAGAGTCTGAACAGTTATCTTATATATTGAACTTCACTGTATTCTAACATTCTGTATCATATTCAGTGATGTGACTGATTTGTTTGTTTGTTGAATATCATGGAATTGTTATTATTATTTAGAAGAGGTACAAATCGCATTAGCAATGTTTTGAATCTATGATATTTAAATTATTAGTCAATCTATTCAAAATTAACAGTAGTGTTATCAAAAAGTGTTATTAAAAAGCAATATTAAAAAGTATTATCAAAAAACATTATCTTTTGCAAAGTGAATACAAAAGTTACTTGAGTAATTACTTTTATCTCATTCTCATCTCAAGAATCAGTCATCTCATTATTCTTCATCTCAATGTTAAGATTCTTTATCAGTGTTTGTATCACAAGTTGAATCACATGAGCAATGCAGAGAATATGACCTTGTTTATCATTTCATAAATGCAAAGTCAATTTTTGCTCTAAGCTCTTCATCATAGTGTAGTTATTCACAGCATTATCAGTTGTAATTGTAAGAAGACTGAGACTAATATTTTAATAGTTATTTTTAATCACAGTCATTAATATCTCTGCTATATAATTCTCAGTATGACTACTGATCAATGATTTAAATTCAATTAATGTCTCTCAATAAGTTCAGTTCTCATCAATGTAATAACATGTAACTCTTATAAATGCAAGATTATTTGTACTAGTTCATGCATTCACTGTGAGAGACACTCTTCAATGATTCTTCAACTCTGATTCTAGATGTTGTATATTAACTTTGTAGTGTGTCTTGAGATTGAACTGAAGACAGAATTGATGTGGAATATGAAGATTTGAATTAAGCATTTGAAGAAGTGTTCAGAATTTGAGGTTTTTAATTGATTGAAGAGAAAGATTCAGAGATATACACATGTGAAGTAATTGTTCACAGAAGTTATCAGGTGAGAGTTGTGGAATCAGAGTACTGGTATGAGGTTGTTTTCACATGATTTCCTTCAAATTAGAAAGTTAGTGTTATCAAAAATTGTTATCTGGTAGAGCAACTTACCAGCTCAGTAGTAATTTTCTGATTATTATTCTTTTATTGTCTGCATTCTGATGACTTCAGATGTCAGGAAATTTCTTCAGAGTCATGACTAGTTCATGATGAATGTTTCTGAATGAAGTTGCAGTGATTGCAGTAGAGAGATGACTCTTCAGTAATCTGCAATGCAACCTGTTGATAATTATTTCATAGTTCATCTTGATATTTGTGTTGAGTTTTTTATAAATTTCATGACCTGAAATCAGATGTGAAGAATGAAGTGATTATTCATTATAATTGAAAGAGAGCATTCTGTGTTGAATTGTAAATAATATAGACTTTGTGATTCACAGTGATTTCTTAAAGAGTTTGTGAATCTTCAATAGAAGTAAAAGAAGTGAAAGAAGTGAATTCAGAAGACATGATAATAATTTGAGAAAGATAATAATTTATTTTTAATAACTAATCACTGATGTATGTAAGAAGAATTAATATAAGAGAAAATAATCTTGTTTCTTAGCTTAGTTATAATTTTAGTACTAACTCAGATTGAATATCATCAATGTATAAAAGTAAACAAATAATCTTGATTAATCTCTGTCATATTTCTTGAAATATATTAATATTGTGAAAGAGAGTATTACTAAATTATGTTATCAGATGATATCATTAAAAATATATTAATATTGTGAATATCAATGTTGAAAAAATGTTGATACTTATACATTATAGTGATTTGTGAATCATGATAGTTAAATATATATATATATATATATATTGTTCCTGACTTGATTACAACTTGTACAATAATTTTTAAAAACTTAAAATTAATTTCAATTATTAATAATTATGAACTTACAACTAACTAATATAAAAAGAAAAAAACTTTTTCTACTCATTATCTTTCTTCTCTTTCTCATTCTTCTTATTATTCTTTATAATTTACTTCTCATTCTTCTTCTCCTTCTTCTTCTTCTCATCTGAGATGATAATCATCTCAAAATCTCTCTTCACTGCCTTCTCAGAGAAGGGTTTCTGCTGCTCTCTCTCAGCTAGGTCAATCTGCATCTCAAAATCCTGCATTTCCTGGTCTGCTGTCTCGGGTTCCATCTCAGTGACAAGCAGATTGACATACTCAGAGAGCAGAGCTGTCTTCTCAATATTCTGAATCATGAAGTGCATTTGAGACCTGAATAAGGCCTTAATTCCCTCCTTCTCTGTCAGCTTCTGCTAATCAATTAGAGAACAGAAGCATTATTAAAAATTATTATCTCTCAATAAATAAAAAACTTACCAGTTTTGACTTCTTTATCTCCTGCTTCAATACTCTCTCAATCTTCTTCTGCTACTGCTTATTTACAGCAACACTCTTCTTCTCTCTCTCTCTCTTCATCTTAGTCTCAAATCATTCTCAGAACTTCTCCTGATCTCACTGCTGCTGTATGAGACTCTTCACTGTCTTCTTCTTCAATCTCTCACAGGCGGCATCATCTACATTATTTCTATACTTAGTTCAGTCTAAATCTATCAGAAGTGTTACTTAAAATTGTTATCATTCTGCTCTCTTATGAAGCCTCTTCAAGGTATTATAATATATCTTACAATCTGTCTCCTCTCACTTAAACATCTTCTTCTTCTCTCTCTTCAATCTGTGACAGTGCTCACACGCCTTGATGATCTGCAGAACTGTAGAATATTTGAAGAGAGATGACATAATTGATTTCAGTGAGTGTTGAAGAAGAGTGAAGGCAGAAGAGATGATTAGAAATGATATAATAATAATAATGATAATGATGATGATAATGATGATAATGATAATAGTAATGATGATAATAATAGTGATGATAATGATGATGATAATAATAATAATAATGATGATAATGATGATGATAATGAAAGAAAGAGTGCATTGAAATATATTACTGACTTATCAAATATAAAGAGACTCAAAGAAAATATTAACAGCTTTCAGTGATGTACAGAAACAGCTACAGTGTTGCATAGCAACATCATCTTCATTCAATGCATACACTGTTAATATTCTTTGTATGCAGTTATTATATAATCTGTATCAGAGATACATGCAGAAAACAGATCTTTGTTACTAGAATAAATGATTACAGCAATTCTCTGTTTTTATATTATAAAGATAAGTTATTCTCATTTCTTTCTTCTCTCTTTTCTCTTCTTCAATCAATCACTAATTTCAAGCTGGTATGAAAACTATTAAAACACTCTCAGAAACCCTCAAATTGAAGAGTATAGACTAATCAAATTTTAAATGCAGAAGAAATTAAATTACCTTCTACAGATTCAATTACTCACTTCTTCTCAAATAAAACAGCAGTCGTGTCCCCCTCCCCCCCCTCAACCAAATGAAACATGGCCTGTGAAAAGCGAGTACCACATCAGGCCATAATGGCCAACACAGCCTCAGCACGCAGGGCTGCATATGCGCAGCATGTGCTGAACTGGGAGACTGTGTGAGTTGCAAACCAGCGGCAGCATCCCAGGGAGAGCTGTGCAGTGTGAGAAAGCTGCAACTCTCAGTCACATGTGCAGAGAGTGAATTGCTGCAGTAAGTGCATGTGTATTGAAGTAACACTTTTTAATAACACTCAGTCTCTGATATGATGAAAATAGAGTCTCTTCATGAGATCTGTTTCTATCAGAAGTCTGAAAATCTTATATTTTTCAAGATCATCTTCACATGCCTTGTCTGTGAAATCAATGAGAGAAATCATCAATTTCAGTGTTCTGCTCTTGATGTCATTCAAGTGGCAGCAGAGTTCACTCTGACCACACTTTTTAAGTGTATATTTTCTAATTATTCACATTTATATAGATATATACTGATTATTTATTAGGTGATGTTAAGACAATGACTCATCACAGCTGTGTTACTCTCACTGTGAGAGATACATGATTAATGATGAACATTGTAAAGACTCTGAGAAGTGAGTATTTTAAGAATGCTATGACTCTGTGATCTTGATTTTTTTTTGTTTTTGTTTTTTGTTTTTTTCTTTTTCTTTTCTTTTTTTTTTTTTATTTTTCTTTCTCTTTCTGTCTCTTTTTTTCTTTCTCTTCTTTTTTTCTTTCTCTTTTTTTTTTTTTTTTTTTTTTTTTATTGTGATTTTTTCTTGTTGTTTTATTGTTTATTTTTTCATTATTTTTTATATTATACATTTTTTTTTTTAATTAAAATGATATTAATTATGATCTGTGTTCAGAAAAGTAATAATATTTGATAACACTCTCTGTTGAATTTTCAACAAATGAGCACTATGTTATGATATTATGTAAGTGAGAAATGATTTCATAGTCTCATTTAATGCCATTTTCAATAATGAAATCAGAATGAAAATGTGACTAAGAATTCAAACATATTCTTTATCTGAGACTAGATTTTTATTTGAAAAGTGAATCTGGAATCTTTAATATTTGAAATAACAGGATTTGAGATCAATGTGATGAACACAAATCATGACCAGGAGTAATGCTTTTAGGCAATGTGATAACTGTAAAGTTTGATCCTGATCTCAGACACGGTCACACGGTCAGTCTACTCATTGATCTTATCATTCAGATATATGCAGCTATTATAAGAAGTAATAGTCTATTAATTTCTCAATTACTAAGAGAAAATGATTCTGAAGTGACTTATTAAATCATACTAAGAGCTCACTAATAACTACAATTTCTTATTGAAGCAGCAGTCAGAGTAGTGATGATATTTAAGCTATTTTAAACTGATTCAGTTGTTAGTCATCAGTCATTTCCTGCTTCAACTATGAACACTGTCATCACACATATCAGTGATTATATAAAAAAAGCAAAGCTTATATAATATATGAAGAGATGACTGAATATATATATTAATTTACACTATATTAAGTAGATTAAAGAATATACAGTATTCAATCACTGTAATTATTCTGACAGAAGAGAACAAGTATTAAGACTATAAGAATCTAGTGCAGTAAACAAATTATCAAGATATGAAAAAGACACTGCTCTTATAGAAGAGCTTTCACTGAACTTTGTAATTAGTATTAAGAGATTTCTTTGACAGCTCTGACATATATCTGATGCAGAAGATTCAAGATTTATATGCAGTTTGTTCAGCACTGTTCAATAATCTGCTGAGAATGAATGAAGAAGCTGAAGATGAGAATGATAATTCACTGAACTACTCTATTAAGTTAAAGTTAATAAAAGATTATATTACTCTGAAGATTTTTGATTATCTATTATTAAGTAAGATATCAGAGAAAGTTAGTATACAATTTACAAATCTCTTTAAGCTTGAATTACTTCATTTATTTCTCAATAAGCTATGAGAATTCTATGATGCTGATTGAAATAAGCTCTCAGTTTTGAAACCAGATCACTGTTCAATACTTTTCTATAATAGGTTAATATTTTCAGTTCAGTATGTCTGTTTAATCAATCAATTAATCAATTAATCAATCAATTAATCAGTTATTGACTTACTAATATATAAACTAGAAATCACATTCACTGAATCTCCCTTATGAAAGGAGATATCATTCAATATTAAGAGGCAGAGCTTAGCCAGATTACAATCATATTTATTCATGAAATAAGAGAAGTCAAGTGAATTTTCTTTACACTTATTTCTCTACATCATGTCATACATAATTATCTACTGAATCTGCTGATTTTGTAAGAGAATTCTGATAATTACACTATTATCAGACTGTCAGCAGTTTGAAAGACAGTATTGTATAACATTCTGATACAGAATAGTGATGAAAATGATGATTGTTTAATATATGAGTCTCAGATAATAAGATATTTGCATTGCAATTGAAATGTCTCATTTCTTTAGATAGAATAGATAGTTAATGAATAGCAGCTGTTATACTGAGTAATAGATAACTAACTAGCTTAATAGTATTGATTTCACTGACAGAACAGTATACAGTGTCTTGTAGTATCTTAGTAGTATTCTGATAATAGCATCTGTCAATTACACAGTTACTAAGTAGTGTTATAATGATGTTAGAAAGTTCTGCACTATCTCAATATTATCTTGACATTTAATATTCAGCAATGTGTCACTGAATATAATGATGAAACATGTGTTACAATCAGTGACACGTGACACGGGTGAAATGATGAATTCACAGTGTAGTTACTGTAAATTAACTCTACGTTCTTCTCATATGAATTCATTTAGTGTAACTCGCGTAGATAGATTACACATAACATAATAACATTATTCTTCAAGAGGTTATGAAGCTATTCATAAGTAATAAATAACTGTAATAATGTGCTAAATTGACATCTTCACACAGCATTACAATTGTGTCTAGATGATTTATTAATTAATTAAACTCATAATTAATCTAAGATTCAGAGAGATATCTAACTTAATAAAAGAATACATGTCTTTAAGATGAAGAAATGAGAAAATGCTAGAGCAGTAAACACAAGATCAAAGATCACTGTCAACATTAATAACAAATTACAAGACAGCTCTCAGAGTGTTTGAGCTGAATAAAAGCATTACAGAGAAACAGTCTGATGAGATTAATAAATATAAAGACTCAGTTGAAGATATTAGTAAGATGTCAGATAATGTAAGAGATTTAAGTAGCTGAAATAATAATAGCTCAGTGAGTAAGAAGACTTGTATAAGACTAGCAATTACAAGACTTCAGTATGAGATTGAATAAATAAAGATCAGTAGAGATAACTCTGTAGATAATAAAATAAAAGCAGATCTAAAAGAATATCTTCAATAAAAAGAGAAGATATCTATTATAATAAAAGTTCTTAAAGAATTCAGAAGTTAAGTAAGATCTATTAAAAGATTAATAGTTCTCACTGAATTCATTAACTACTTAATATAAAGAGAGAAAATTCTTTTAACTATAGAATAGTCTGAAACTGATAATATTCTTAAAGATAATAATTTTAATGAGAATATTACTATGAATATATAATATTTCTGAAAAGAATGCAATCTTTAATTATATAATTATATATAATCTGTAATTACTCTGCAGATCAAGACTTATTTCACTATATTTAAGAAGTTCAAATTATCAGCTTATACTCTATAAACTATTATAGAGAATAACTTTTCTAAGAGATCTGTTATACATAGAACTTATTTATTTAAAGAGCTTATTAAAATAACTTTTAAAAGTAAAGAATCTGACACAGTTTTTCTTAAATAATTAATTATTATAAGAACTGACTATATATGTCTAGAATATAAGATTTCAGATATTGTGTTTTTCAATAGACTGCTTACAGAAGTCAACAGAGATTAAGTCTCATTTATAAGAAATTGAATAAATTAAATTAATAAGAATAATACTCAACTCTTAGAGAATAATTTTATAAGTCTGTGTTATAATATTCTTTTACAGCTCTCTGCTGTCAATGAGATAAGTACTGATATATCTAAAAACTCTATCAACAACATACAAGACAAGAATAAGAAAGACAAGAACAAAGAGAAAGATAAGAACAAGAATATTAAATTCAAATCTGAACATAGAAGTAATGACACAAAGACATACTATTATTATCAAAAGATTAGTCATATTCAGACTGACTGTTGAAAGAAATACTCTGAGAAATATTCTTTAAATTTGAATTTCAACATCAATAGAAACAAGAATAAAGACAAGAATGTGAAGAATACAGATACTACTTCTATTCACAATGTTATAA